TGATTTCTCCATTCTGTCCCTTCTCTAATTTTTGATGGTAAAGTAACCCTCCACCTTGACCACAACTATCATTCTATTGATCATCCCCCTTTCCACTTGCTCAAAGCCCTCTACAATTATCTCTTTTAATCCTGACTACCAACGTGGGAGGTAGGTCCTATTTTTATACCCATTTTACATATGAGGAAACTGAGACAGACTGAATTTAAGGACCTCAATCAGGGTCACACTGCTCTTAGATGACTGAAGTCTTCCTGATACCTAGCCACTGCACCCCTTAGGTACCTATATAAATATATAAATACAAAAATTCTCCCCATACAGCCCAGGGTCACTTCCCGGCTTCAATTCTGAAGAACTCTTATCCTTTTTTCTACCATCGTGCCTTTTCTCCCATCACCATCCGCCCTTAACTAGAAAACTGCCCCTCTCTTTCTCCAAAATCCAGCTCCTACTTCCTCTTAAACTCTAAAGCCACCAAAACATTTCCATGCGCCTAAATAATTTTCCATCTTGAGTTACAGAATAGTGGTTGATTTCAAGTTCTTTGAGGATATTTTTCTCCTGCAATATTCCCCGGCACCCCTCACAGTGCTTCACAAAGATGACCCTCAATCAATGTCTGTGGCTGAAATGAATTAGGGAGGCTACAAAACTTTGGTAACAGAGGCATAACCTAGAAAAGTTCCCGAACCAAACAATATGTTGCTGTTCAGTTGTTTCAGTCGTAGCTGACTCTTCGTGACCTCATTTGGGGTTTTCCTGGCAGAGATACTGGAGTGGTTTGCCATTTCCTTTTCCAGTTTATTTACAGATGAGGAAACTGAGGCTAACAGGATTAAGTGACTTGCCGAGGATCCCACAGCTAGTAAGTGGTCGAGGCCACATTTGAATTCCTGACTCCAGGTCCTGCACTCTATGCACTATGGCGCCACCTAGTGGCCCCCAAACAAGCAATGTTTAAGAGCAAAGGGTAATTTTCCACTTAGAGCTATGCTAACAGACTGAACATAGATGCTCATGGACACAATACTTAGAGAGCACCTTGTTTCAAAGGATCTAGACTACGTGCAAGGCACCGGATACATGACAAAAAGCAAAACAGTCCCTGCCCGCAAGAAGGTAGGGGAAGCACAAAGATCCTAATTTTATTGAAAGGCTAACTTGAAATTGAATCGAAAGCTAAGCATTCTGATAACAAGTTTGCCCTACTGGGCCTCTTTATTTCATGAGAATGAATCGTCTATACAGAACAGATGCCATGTGAGTTAGGGAAGATGCAAAAGACTAAAAATAGACAGAACGCTAGACTTGGAGGCAGAATGCCTGGCTTCAATTCGTCCTCAAATACGCACTACCCATTTCTATACATCTTGTCTCCCCTGTTAGAATTTCAGCTCCCAGAAGGGGCACACTTCTTGCTTTTTCTTTGTATTCCGGAGCTTTGCATTGTACCTAGCATTTAGTAAGCATTTAATAAACGTTTGTTGATTGATTCGAAGATCGCAACATAATAGACTCAAGTCCCTAAAAGTTTCTTTCTTAAATATTTGCATCTTGAAAAATGGAATATTACTGGACACGAATAATCAGTTTCAGTTAGACACTTTCCTTTTCTGACAAACTGATTAGATTTTATTCTTAGAAGACAGCTAATTCAAAGTCTGTTGTGAAATACCTGGAGGTTTTAGCCAATAATGTGCCCCTATCAACATTTGCCTTTCAGACAGTAAGCATTCAAAGTATATTTGTGGAAAGAATGAGTGTCCAAAGATAGAAAGATGGGTCGACAGATGGTATAAGCCTCTGAAGCACTTGCTGTTGAGAGGTACAACTACGGGCAGAGAATGCCGCAGAATCCAGGATCCTATAAACTCACAGCTTCCTTTGTTGCCATGGTGGAGGGAATAGAGTTCTGGCCTTGGAGTACAAAAGACTCAAGTCTGAATACTGCCGAAAGCACTTGCTAGCTAAATGGCAGAAAGCTAAAGCTCAGAAAGTCACAACTTTTCAGAGCCTATTTTTTCATCTGTAACATGGATATAATAAAAGCACCTGCCTCACAGGGTAGTTCTATCAGATGAGATTATGTATACAAAGTGCTTTGTAATTTCAAATGCTAACAAATTTATCAACTCATATTTTTTTTTCCACTTTACTGCTTGGGCTAACTTTCTCACAAAACCTCTTTTCAAACACTTATTCATTTCATAAAGGCCAGGTAGTCCATACACCTCCAATCACAGAGGACAATGGGGCTCAGAGGTTAGATGACTTGCCCAAGGACACTCAAATAGTTACCAACAGGAGGATTTCAATCAATCAGTAAGCATCGCTTACAGTGTGTCAGGCTGTGTTAAGTGCTGGGGAGAAAAGAAAAAAAGAGGCGAAAGGCAGTCCCTGCCCTCAAGTAACTCACAGTCTAACAGATTCGATGCAAAGACAAGGTTCTTCCTTTGTACCCTTTGGCCCACGGCTAGAGAGACTAAAAGCAGTTTCTGCTCGGTGAAAATGAAGTAATCCAAGCTTGCTTTATGTCAAGTTTCTAGGAGACTGGTGTGCTCTAAAAAAGCCCCGCGGACTCTTCCTGAAGAAGTATTTTCTGAGTGTGAGATGAGAGTATACGGACTTCTTTGTCACTTCAGCCTCTGCTCTGTAAAAGCTAGGAAGAGTCCCCCCACCACCGTTCACCACTTGTTACTTGGATCCTAGAGCCTGCAGAGAGAAGGGCTTGTAAACTTTCTAGCCCCACTCCAGCTTTCTTGACAGGAAGACAATAAATGCTGAAAGCCCCATTCACTCCTGAAATGTACCTGCACAAAGTCCAGCTTGCCTGCAGTCAATGGAGAGCAGGGGAAGGAGTCACTGCTTCAGAAAAAGGGAAAAGACTTGGAGAAGGGACAGCAGACTCTTCAGGCATGCACATATATCAATATTATACATCTAGAAAAGTGTGTATGCTTTCTAAAAAAACATAGTCTGATTGAAACCAAGGAACAAAAAACTCACACTAAGTAAACGATTATGCATCAAACTCAAAACCAGTTGTAGAACTTAAGCTGTATAAAGACTTACAGACTAATCTGATCAGAAAGTATCATGACCTGAATGAAATTAAAGCCTGTGGGGAGGGACCAATCTTTCTGGGATAAACGGTGCTATGTGTAAATTGCTATAGAATACAAACTTTCAAGTAAATGAATTAGGTATCAATCTGTGGTTTTCCTTTAGGAATTAGATGAGATCATAATTTTAAAAACTGCACAGTATTCTTTAATAATTAATAAGCAATCTACTGCTCTATGACACATCTTCCCTCACCCACATATCCTCTTTGCCAACAAACTTCCCAGACAAGCAAACAATGAAACTTGTGGAAACCCTTTCATAATCTCTATGGAGTCATTGCCCAAGCATGAATATCTAAGATGACACCCATCTCCACCGCCCTGAGCCCCCATGGGATAGAAGATGGTTTATATAAAAAGCCTTGCACATTTAAGTCAGCGTATGAAGAATAAAAGATTTCCACTACGGCCATCACCCGATGGTTGAGAAAGTAACTCCTGCCTCAGCCACCCCCTTAAAATGGGTGCCATCACTTTGCATTCTCAAGGTCACAGTAGATCAAACACAAAACTCCCCAATGGAAGCCAAAACACTTCCATTCTGGCCCAGGTTGGGAAAGTTTTATATGGTAAATCCCCAACAGGGCTGTCCCTTCTAGGAGGCAGGTGTCCTGCCCCAAAGGGAAACAGAGGCATCAGAGGTGACACTGAAGGGCATGGTGGTTAAGATGAATGAAGAGGTAGAAATGACATCTGGAATGGAAGCCTGGCATGCTCTCCCTCTGGCTCACCCCAAGCACCTCCTTTCCTCATCAACCCTCCTGCCCTTGTCCCCGGGTCCCTCTGCAGTTTTGTGTCTATCCTATACAGACTCAGCTAAGCACTGCAGGCCCCAGGTGGACTGCAGGCTCCTTGAGAGCAGGGCTGGGCTCATTTCTCTCCTTATCCCCGCATCTGGGCACAGAGGAAATGCTCCAACATGACTGTGGAAGGGCATGAGACAGACAGCAGCAGGCGGGCCCGGAGACCAACATCCCCTAAGGACACAACCTGGGAAAAGCTGCGCTATGCTCCCCGCCCCCACTCTGTGCCTCAGCTGCGCACTCAGGAGGGTGGGCAGGGGGTGAGGCTCCAGCCACGGGGGCCGCCAGCAAGAGGGCGGAGGGAGTGGGGGGCTGCCTTAGGTGTCGGGGACGCGAGGAGCGGGGCGGGGGAGGGAGCTGCGCCCCCCTCAACCTGCCAGGCAGAGGTGCAGGGGGGAGGGGGATGAGCGGGCCATTCAGGAGGGAAAGGCTGATGGGGGGTTTAGCGGCCGGGGAGCGGTGGGCATCCCTGGAGATGAGGGGCGGCACGGGGCCGGGGCAATACCCCGGGGGAGGG